AAGAAGCTTAAAGGATCTAATATTTATATAAATGAAGATTACACCGAGTCTGTGAGGAAGAGAAGAAGGGAGTTGGTGCCGAAGTTAAGGGAGGCCAGGGTGAGGGGAGACATCACGTTCCTGAGGTATGATCGACTAGTGACAAGACCTCGGGCCCAGGTGCCAGGACCCAGGACCAGCACGCCCAGGATGCCAAGACAAGGAGATGAAGGGGCTGCTGGACTCTCAGATGTATGAAGAGACATGCAGGTATATTGATATCTGCGATGGCAGATGAGCGTTGGAACCAACAACAAGCATGACCCACGTACGGAATGAGGCAAGTGATTTGTTAAAGAAGTTAATAGTTTTTGAGGGACTGGATCTGGAACTGAACACAATTGGAACTACTGAAATTCATTATCATGAACCGGACGAAGATTTTGACCCTGAAAAAAACTTTTTTAAGAACTCTGAAAACAACTGCAAGTATTATACGGATGAGCAGTTTAACAGCAATGTCAAGACTGAAAACAAATTATCATTAATTCACTTTAATCGCAGAAGATTATACGCAAACTTTCAGAGTATAAAACATTATCTTAGTAGTCTTACACATTCTTTTAATAAAATTGCTATTTCTGAAACATGGATTAATACTGTAAGGGGAATGGATTTTGACCTTGATGGCTATGACTTGGTATGCACAAACAGAGAGAATAAGATGGGAGGTGGTGTGGCCTTGTACATAGATAAAAACCTTTGTTATAATAGAGTGGAGAAAATGTCAAGGGCAGTAGATAATTTACTGGAATGTGTGACTGTAGAACTTATAGAAAAAAAGAAGAATGTTGTATTAAGCTGTATCTATAAAGCACCTGGAGCCAGTATAGAAAAATTTAATGACTGGATGGAAGAAAATTACTCGTCAATAAGTCATAAATTAATGTTCATATGTGGTGACTTCAATATAGATTTGTTGAATCCTAACAAGCACACAGGAACTGAGGAGTTTATTAACACAATATATAGATGCAGTTTATACCCAAAAATTACAAAACCAAGCAGAGTAACAACCCAGCATGCAACACTAATAGATAATATATTTACCAATGTTACTGACAGCAAAATGACAAGTGGATTACTTATAAATGATATAAGTGATCATCTACCAGTATTTGTGGTTTATGAGGGCCAGTATAGAAAAGAGAGGCCAAAAACAAATCTTTTCTATAGGAGGGTGATGAATGAACATGCTGTAAGGAGG